AGCAGCCGCCGAGGTAAACGACAATCGGCTAGCCCGGACAAAGTTGCCCGGATTAGAAAATATGCCAGTTTCTGCATCGACGCAGGAAATCCATCCCCATTCAGCGATGGAACTTCAATCTCATGGTTATTTAGACCGATAAAGCGGAAGGCAAGCTGGTACCATTTCTTATGCCGTGCGGGATACAGTGTCCATACCTCATCAAGCATGAACAGCGCAAAGACTTGCAGTTTCTTGTTAAAGTGCAGTGCTGAGCAGGTATGGGTATTTATTTGTTTGGATATAGTGGCGTGTAGCTAAAACTGCTCCTATAATGGCACATAACAAACAAGCATGGACATCTACGGCACATCTGAGCATTGCCGAAAGCACCCAAATGAAACCCCGCCTGCTTTTGCAAAGGCAAGGGAGACACACTCGCTGTAGGCATCACTAGTGGTCAGATCTCAAAATGATAACCTTGAGAAATCCTCACGCCCTGGCCCATGCCCTCCACCACTCTCCAAGGCAGGGGAGACACAAGCATGGCTGGGCCCACGTTATACGGCCCTCTCGCGCAACTCAGAACCTTACTAGCACTCCTCTTACAGCAGTATGTGCACAACGCGCATCTTAGCGACATGTAAATTGTGCATCGTATAGCATCCAACTCCTTCCGAGCACTGAAGGACAGAACAAAGCGTCAGCTTTGCAGCGCCAGACTATCCAGTCAACCTACACGCTGCCACCAACGTACAGCAAAACTAGGTGACTACTGTGCTTCAAGGACAGCAAAGTCGCATCAATGTTTGCTCTCAAATGGTTCACGCAGGGAAACATCTTAAACCGCAACAGTGGGGTGACTAATCGTGATCCTGAAGGAACATTCACAAACAAGCAGTGCTTAGGAGATCGTACTACGAGAAAAGTGACAGGGAACGTATCCACGAACTAGGCTAAATAGCTCTGACGTCCCCCTCTGGATTGCGTGTGTGAGCATTGCCACATGTCCGCCCTATTCGTGGAGCAGTTCCCCTTAACCTATTCTCTTGATAGACAAAACTCAACAAGGTGCAAGGCCATGCCTAAAACCCTTGACAATAAAAGAATGCTAATGATCAAGTAGCACACTGACAGCCTGCCCACAGAAAACCGAGACCGCTCTGACGGCAGCAGCCCTGGAGTGGGAGATCCCCCATATTTGCACTTCTCAGACGTCCCCCCAAATGCGCAACTATCGTAGAGTTTAGACGCCGCCGTACTTCCCGCGAAAGTTTCTCAGTCTACTCGGCTTAATACACTTTACCGCAGTGGTGGTAATACTGTACCCGCTGCTGCCCCACTCGAGAGCCGAGGCACAATCCATTTATTTCCCTTTCCCTTTCCCAAGAGGCTGCCATATTGCGTAGCTCTGCGACAAGTCAAATCGGCCGTACACTCCGGCTAGTGGCAAAATCCTTATCCGTCAGCGCAGTTACGTCCACCTTCTCCGTGCAAAGATCTGCCAGAATTATAATCCAGCACATACGCGTCCGAAAAATACGTCAGATGGGCTCCACGACATGACTTTGGGCTAGGACTGCTCTGTGCTTAACAATACCAGCAAAGTTTGGCGCATTCGTCTAGCTATTCCATTTCTCGTTCTCAACTCCAGGATATTAGTGAGGTATCCAGTAGGATACATGAGGTGCACGCCAGCAACGCACGAGCTGGGAGCACATCTATTGGTCACGTGCATGCTCAGGTAATTGCTACGCTTTGTCACCAGAACTATTCAACTCTGATGCAATGTTTTGGATTGGACTCATGGTTATTCGCACAGCGCATGATGCAACGCATGCGTGACTATTTTCTTCGCGATGAATATTCCCCTCGGCTTCCAATTTTCGAGTACCCCACCATCTCAAATCGGTGCTTGAAGTACTTCCAGGTCGCCAGAGGGACGAATTCTCCCGGTCTTATCACAATTCTCTTTGCACTTGAAAAAAGCCCTCTTCTTGGCCACCGTCGTTCACCAAGTACGCCGAGCTGCTAATTAATTCTTCAGTGGGTAAGGCTGGCGTGGCCAAATTTATCATGCCAGGAAAGAATTGCTGTCAGTAGATCGTGCGAAGCGGAGAACACCATCCACAATGCAATGCAGAGAGTCAGTAATAACGTATCTACCATGCGCAACGTAACTCACGTTGAAGCGTCCCTGCTTCCGCCCACTGCACTGAGCAAACAGGAAAAGAAAGGCATTTTCTCGGCATGCGAATGACGTACCAACTGCAAACTCAGAGGGGGAGCCAACAGATGGCAGCACTCTTCCCCTTGAAAAGAATCATCAATAGGTCGCTTCATAGTCGCTGCAACAGAACAGTAATTGCCAACAATAATCGATTATATCCTACACGCAAATTTATTGCCGCCATCTGGCGACATTACATATAATTCGCCAAAGTGCCTAGAAGGCACTATATTCCCAGTGGGCGAGCAGTAGAAGTCCCATCCCAATTGAACATTTTTTTCGGGACTCCACAGCACAACAGCAGCGTTAGGCACTAGGGTTCAAATCTAATACAAATCCACCATCCACGCAAGAGAAGACGGGATAAATGGCAACATATGTCACATCAACGATGCATTTATTGAAACACGCCAGCTTACTTGCACTACCGGGCTCATCGCTGGATAGCTGTCTAGCGTGTCCGGAGAAAGGGGCAAGGAAGACGGGGAGGCAGCAGCCTCGGAGCTCCCTGAATAGTCCTGCGCATCTGCGCCCTTTTGTTCATGGAGGGGGTTCTGCTCATCAATGGAATGTCCAGGTTCGTCAGGAGCTGATGGTTTAACATCGTCCGCCTTAACGCTGTCCTCCTGCACATCAGTGGAATGTGCAGGTTCGTCAGGAGCTGATGGTTGACCATCATCCGTCTTAGCACTTTCCTCCTGCACATCTGTGGAATGTGCAAGTTTGTCAGGAGGTAATAGTTTAACATCGTGCGCCTTAGTGCTCTCCCTTTTGGCCTGCAGCATCCCACACCCCTGAGGCATGCGCGCCCGTTTAGCATCCCGAAGGGAGCGCCTCCGTTGTTTGTTTGTCCAGCATTAGCTGGCGTGCGTTGCATGTTGTATCGAGTACAGTCACGTCACCACACTGATCCAGAGAAGTGCACAGCTTCACATGAAGAATAATTCTTTGCGCACGAAGGTTCTTGGCAGCTACTACCCTGCGCGGGCGCAGAACAGACGCATGTCGCTGTCATGTTTCAAAAGGCACCCAATCCACTATTGTCCTCCAGGCAACAGCATGCGGATAAACCAGAACCCGTACACAAATACAGGAGCGGCAGCTATAGCTCAGCGTGTTCCCAGGCTGGCAAGCGCCGAAGTCTCAAATTCCTGCTTTGCACGTAGCCGGCATTCCTTTTCTGTCCCCAACTCCGGAATTTTGCATCGAAAATAACATGCCAAAAAGCGTTAAGCCACAATATTATGTAGATAAGTGGCCGTGCTAATCACTATGTAATATTCTGGGCTGGGAGCATCTACAAGAACGTCAAATAAACTGAGGAGGTCCCTGCAGCCAAATTCAACTGCTTCCACAAAGCACATTACTGACATGAAGATCCACGTAAGTGCTCCCTCACATCTTACGCACTAAGCATTCGAGCGCACTAGGCACTCCACGATCTCACCCACTAAGTATTCAATGCACTAGGCACTCCAGGACGAACTGAACTTTCTATAATTCTCCATCGAAGCATACAGAACTTGGACACGCTGCGAACCTGGTGCAACGGAGATCCATGTGGTGAAGACATTTCGGAGCTTACCTTGTCTAAGGACCGCTTTGTAGAGATGCCTATTGCTACGGCCAAAATCCATGAGGCGATGAATGCACACCACATACGAAAAGTTGTGCTGTGGTCTTTGATCCGCCGGCGGGGTAACAGTATATGATCGTCCTGCGCTTTCCCAACGGGCGCATATGCTTGACGGGGAACCAAATTTTCCGCCACCTCCTTGGGTATATACATTACTTCTGTTGTTGCTGGAGAAGAAAAGCATACGGAAACTCCAATGTGTATGAGAAGAAATGCGAAAGAGACGCGCTGAAGTGCAGCCACACGCTGGAGAAGACCGCAAGCCATTTTCAGCCAGCAGCCCAGCTTCCAGCTACCCTTTGTGTATAAAAATACCAGCAGTAGTCTAGCAGAGCAAAGTCCAATCTTCGTCCTTAGTTTGAGTACCTGCGTCGAGGACACATCGATCTGTCCGCCCCACCGCATGGAAACCGCTATGAACGCCGCAGGCACTGAAATAAAAGGAAGTGACACCTTGTAAAATTAAATGATCAGCAGTCCGTATATATACCGAAGAACATAATTTTCCCGCACCACCCGGTGCGCCGCACGGATTCCGTAGACCGGAGCAACAGTGCTAAGTTTGGTCCTATTCGGGAATTCCCGACGAAATTGTTGCACACAGAAACAAACCATAAACTAAGAAGTAGATAATCCTTACTTTCCACACTTGTCGGCGGTGAGGCATACGTAGGTTTGGGCCCAAACTGGAGACCAGGTTTGGGGCTGTGTGAGCGATTGGGCAGAGTTCCCAGGCATTTCTGTGTTGACCGCCTCATAAGTGTGCGTCTTGAGGTCCCCAGCTCTCTCAAATAGTGTGTTTCGGTATATTTTGAAGGTGCCGTTGCAAATTTTAATTTTTTGACGACTAGGGAGGAGTTGGCACAGTGTAGGTCATTCAGCTAGCCAGTGGTTGTCGTAGGATGGTCTGTGTGAAATTTTTGCATATATCTCTACTTCCGTGTTGGCTGTTCATGAGGAACCCGGAAAGGTCTTAACAACTGTCTTACAGTGTCTGCGTTTTCGTGTAGGGTTTCCGTGCAGCAGTACTTCCAGCAAGATATGTATCGAGAGTTCTCGACCTCATCTGAGTAGCTTCAGGAGCTGCAACAGAGTCAAAGGTTAGAAGGAAAAAGCTCCCAGCAAGCAACTGGCTTCCACTTTCAGTGTCCAGGCGTCCTGGGCACAGGGACCGACGGAGGCAACCTGCCATGCGCTGCAACCCGCTGTGGTGCAAACAAGGGTACAAGGCAACCCCAACTTCAAGCACGGCCACAACCTCCATGCTATTTGCTCCGACCCAGGTGAAAATTCTTAATCACTCAGTTGGCCTTCCATAGCCAGCCGCAAGTGGAGATACACGAAATTCCTACAGACCATGTTATGGTGTGTTTGCCCCTCCTCCCCGTAACATCGAAGGGAAAGAAAAATGACAGGGGTAAGGGGGGGACGGTATGTGCGGATTCCTTTTTGTTTTATTGCTGCCACTCCCAATTCGCAACTCGTTGCTGCGGGGCCCACGCCTTAGCGCACCAAACCCAGATATATCAATGAGACGCTCCAGCTGTAGTAAATAATAATAATAATTAATAATGGAAGTAGTAATAATAATAATCCGTTTTATTATTGTTATTATTCTATGCAGCTCAGGCAAAACCATACATGGTGTCTCCTTCTGCGGCTAGTCTAAAATATAGCTAGTGCCCCTCTTGAGGCTCTCCACATATGTGGATTTATTTAAGGCGGGTTCAATTCCCGTTGTTTACGCACTATCGAGTTGTTCTTCTTGAGTTTGGTCAGCAACAGCGAATCTCCACAATGCCGGATGTGCAGTAGCAATGCCGGCGGCCACCTCGGCTGCTCCTGCGTTGATCCCGTATTATTTCGCGTTTATGCCATTGAATACGGTAAGGTTGAGCAAATTAAGGACTGCCTCTTTCCAAGGAGGATCTTCTGTGTTAGTCATTAGCATAGAAGCTCCTTGCCCACCGGTGGAGTTGGGTCCACCACCCACTGATACTTTTCGACGCAGGGCTACCTAGGTAACGTCGTTGGTTTCGGTTTCCTGATTTTGCCTTGGCTATTTCCACTGCTGGCATTGGTATAACCCTGCATCGCAGGGCATGGCGGAAAGCTTCCATAGTTCGGATGTACCCCAGGGGTCCCCCTGCTTCGAAGTGGGCACCATTGCCGCGCTTTCCGTCCTACATAAGAAGATACCAGTCCATGCGGTATCCCTTCGGATGCATCTTGAAGACGAAAGTACAAATCGAGAGGAGCACGAACTCCTGCGTGGAATTGTGACTCAACAGTGGAACAGTCTCGTCGCGTGTTCGTTAACGCTGTCGCTTTAGTAAGGCTGATGCGCCAGTCCGTCACCTTGCAGATATGTACTTCTTTTTCGGCTTCCCTTTTTCGTAATCTTTCCAATGCGGAATATACTCGTGCTCTGTGGTTGCACTCAGTTAGAAGCCGAGTAGCACAGTTACTATAGGAAGATGAAAGACCGTTGAGCCTTCGAAGCCCTGCCAAATCGCGAGGGCCCATGCTTGTCACACTGACCCTTCGGCGCATTGCCACTGACAAGCATGAAACTAGAACTCTAACAACGCTGTCTGCGCGTCATCCCTCTGATGAGTTTATATCTGATTTGTTTCAGTTTTAGCTCCTGGATGGCATACTCCTTGGATATATTATGCCCCTCAGCTCAGTGGTAGGCAGGTGCAGTAGTCTCGGCTGGGTCGTCCTTAGATGCTCCTCCCAAATTTAGAGGCCTTTCCCTTTATCCGTTCGTGTTTCAGCAGCTCCACTGTATTGCTGTTGAACCTAATTTTTCCCGTTGTACCCAAATTACTTTTCCCGTAAGTGGGGCCAATTCCTGCCTCAGGCGGCTGCTCACATCTTTAGCTAGCCCGTTCCCCCTTGAGCACTGAGGAAGAAAGCTGGAAGTTCATTCCCTTCTTGTGCGGTTTTCACTCTTAGCTCTATCACTAGGTTCCTACCCCTCTTCAAGGAAATAGGTAACCAAGCGGCATCACGTACTGCCGCTGCACGCCAGAAGCATCTAACCTACCCACATGGACAAATTCCTACTTGAACGATGCTGAGCTTCGTGCTTCCCCTGTCTGTGCTAATCATTGCTGTCAGGATATTTGTGCTTCTCACGTACAGACCGCGTCGGCCCAACAATGTAAAAATTGCTGCGTTGCTGAGGAAAGGCTGCGGCATCTACCAGCCTTCGTAGCTCCCAACAAAAGCTGGAAGAAGCTCTCAAAATTCTCAAGTAAAAGTAATTCGGAAAAGTACGCGGTAGGGGGCTAATTGCCGCACGGACATTTCTTGGTGAATAAAACGACATGCAACACGCTGCAAGGTGTGTAAGTTCACAAGAACGAGACCTAAACTATAAGTGCCCCAGCATACAGGACCTTTCCACATGCTGCGACATGAATTTTCTAACAAATACGTCCAGTGATGGGGATGTGCAAAGTGCAAAAAACCCGCCTACTCCACAAATAATACGATTGGCGAATACCACAACTACTGACGTGGTGTTCGCGAACAGCCAGCCTTCGAAAGATTCGGCCTAGTTGGACCCCGCCCCGGTATTGTGGACCAGCGGTTTTGCAAAGGCTGTCGGGTAGGCACGGCGGCTTGAGCATAGAAATTGCTGATTACAGCAGGGCAAATCGGCTCATTGCTTTTCGAGCCTGCTTTTGGTTCCGCAAGACCTGTGATGGCCTTCTCTCCAGCTTTTACTCCAGCTTCAGAAATTCAATAACGGTCGCGACCAGCGCGTGGTCGCTCCTCA